CGGCACGTATCGTAGCACCCTCGTTCGTCCCACGAGACCGATGTCCCCAGTTACTACTCCCGTAGGACTGTGAAAAATAGTAGGAAGAAGAGGAGGGTTGCACTAGCAAGAATGAGGATACAAATAGCAAACCCTAGAAGGGTTGTACTCGCTATAGAGCACCCCACTACAGGCTAGAGCATAATATTCTGACACACCCCCATAGCCAAAGTGGGGTGTAATCAGCAGAGCAAGCAAAGCAGTACAAGCTCAGGGTGGATCACAATGTCACCACACATTCTGAGCACAAGTTCAAGAAGCAATAGTTTAAAGTTCACAATTATGAGCAAAGCTAGTGGTAGTCACAACGGGCAAGTGAGGAGGAGGAAAGAGACTATGAGAGGAGAGGAGGTAGTGGGCGGCAGCTGAAGCTGCTGGCACACGGCGCAACTGGAGCAACTGGCACACGGGCAACTGGAGCAACTGGCACACTGGCAACTGGAGCAACTGGCACACGGGCTACTGGAGTAACTGGCTCCGCGGCTAAAAGTAGCGGCAGACGAGCAACGGACTCACGGGCGACTGGAGCAACGGGCTCACGGGCGACTGGCGCAACGGGCTCACGGGCGACTGGCGCAACGGTCTCACGGGCGACTGGAGCTGCTGGCTTCACGGCGGCCACCCCCTTCAACCTCCCCAAACTATCCCACTCCCCCTGACACACACCCGCTGCTACACCGCTAGCTCCACTCCCCCTTCACCCCCCTTTAGTACCACTCCAACGGCTCCAACAAGTCCACCCCCCCTCAGCGGCAGCTGCAGCACAGGGAGACGGAGGAGGAGGAGGAGCAGGGAACGGCACACAGTGGCTTCACCCCCATACCCCTCACCCCCAAACCCTAATTCAGGAGAACGGGCTGTAGGAGGGGTGGGGCGCCAGTAGAAGCACGGGGGACAGCGGGGAGGGCAGGGGCAGCGAGGAAAGGGCCGCCCACGGGCCTGGCACAGCCGCCCGAACCGCGCGCAGGCGGCCCGAGCCGCGCGCGGGCCTGGCGCAGCCCGTACGGGCCGCGCGCTGGCCTGGCGCAGCCCGTACGGGCCGCGTCCGGGCCTGGCGCAGCCCTTACGGGCCGCGCGCAGCCTGTACGGGCCGCGCGCAGGCCACGACGGGCGACGGGGGGCGACGCGCGGGTCCCCGTCGCCCGTCGCAGCGCCTCCCGAGGGCGACGCGCCGAGTGACGGGGCAGAAGCCCGCCGCGCGCCTCGGGGCGCACAGCGGGCAGAGAACCGCCGCGCGCCACGGGGCGCACGGCGGGCAGAAAACCGCCGCGCGCCTCGGGGCGCACGGCGGGAAGAAAAACTGCCGCACGCCACGGGGCGTGCGGCACAGAGGGTAGCAGTGGAAGTTGCAGCGGAAGCAACGAGGTGGTGAGCCCACCCACAGGATCGATCCAAGGGGATCGACCTGCTCTGATAGCATGTGAAAAATAGTAGGAAGAAGAGGAGGGTTGCACTAGCAAGAATGAGGATACAAATAGCAAACCCTAGAAGGGTTGTACTCGCTATAGAGCACCCCACTACAGGCTAGAGCATAATATTCTGACAAGGACCCTGGTCTCGGTCGGTGGAAGAAATCGAGCTTCTCCGCCATGGCGAGAATCTCCTGAAAAGCGGTGACGCCGCGAAGCTGGATTTCCTTAGCGATGTTGTGCTTCAGGCCGCCGATGTGGCGTTCGATGCGTTCGCTCTCGTGCATATAACCCACTTGCTCGCATAGCGCCAGAAACCCGCTGGTGTAATCCTGGACGGAACCGAGTTGGCGCCAAGTGCGGAGCTTCTGACGCGACGCGATCGAAGCCGCAATTAGCTCAAACCGAGTGCGCAGACCTGCGCACCACGCGTCCCACGTGCGATATTGGGGCACCTCCACGAAATACGACGGCGCCCAGGGTCCGGTTTGTCCTTCTCGTGTCGGTAGAGTCGCGTAGTCCACCAGCTTCATGACGATGACGCGCCACCAGTCCATGGCGGGTCCTCGCAACAGCGACACGGCGTAGCGAATTTTCGCCGTATCCTCCGAGACGTAGTTGGCGTCAAAGAAAACGTTCAACGTGAACAACCACGCCTGAACGGTAGGACCACCCTGTTGACTCAGGTCAAAACATGGCGGGCGCTGCGGCTTCAGCGGCATCGGCGACGGCAGTGTTGATTCGCCGGCCGGCACAGAAATCGTGACTTAAGGCTGACTCCTAGCCGCATTCGTCGCTTCGGGGTGTGTCGTGCCGTGGTCGTCGTCTCCGTCATGGCGGACGACGCCATCACTGGCCGCGCTCGCGGATTGCCCCACACTTCCGTGTTGCGATGTCTGTGGTGCAGGCTGTACCGGAGTGCCAGGTGCTTGAGATTGTGCTTGCTGTGCTCGTGCGTCGTCATTTTGCAGGGACGTGCGTTCTGCCATCAGCACCGCAATTTCTTCAGAGTTTTCGCGAAGTTGCCGCAGCAGTTCGTTCAGGTGCTCCTGCGTGAGGGTGGTGACGTCGATATGCTCGGCCATCATGAAGGGCGTCGGCTCGTCTTCATTCTAGGCGCAGTCGTGGCTGCACGCGTTTACGAGAGAACGCGAGGACAGCGTCTCCTAGGGGCTAAGGTGCGGGAGTCCCTTCGAGTGAAAAAATCAAAAGTTGAGTTCCTGGGGTGTGGAGATGCGCGGTCCGAAAAAAAGAGGCTCTGAATACCAAGTGTTACGGGTGCAATGAATTGAGGTAGCGATGATTGCACTAAGTGTCAAACGAGTACAAAATGTGAGCGAAGGCATGAACGAACATTTATACGCGAAACATGCAAACGGCAACGCGGTGCGTGCGAGCTAGCTAGTGCTACGCTGGCAGTGAGGTTCCGGCTAGTCCCGAAGCCTAGGCCGACACGGCCGGGCCAGCAGTGCGAGGTTTGGTGAAACAGTGCGCGCGAAGTCGGCGAAGCCCCTTTAGCAGTAACGGGCGAACAACTGCTGCTGCTGTACGCGATGTTGCAGGATGCGCTAAGGAATGTTGAGAAAATTCCTTAGATACGCCTACATGTTCCTCAAATTGTACTAGTTTGACCTTTTAGTGCAATCCTCCAATTTCTCACGTAACACTTACAAAAACGTTCACGATATTCCATCATTGCGTACAACTTAGATGGTTGGTTGTGATTTTGTCAGTAGCACACCACGAGGGCGGCAGCTCACATGCCCATGTCAATCTGATGGCATGTTCCTTCCTGCGATCGATTGTGTTCATGATCGATCTTGGAAGTATTAGAAAATGTTTGAAGAGTTTGAAATACTAAACGGAAATATTCAATGCGGTGGAGTATCAATGTTGCACGATCAGCACAAGATCGGGGTCGAAGGGACACGCCCTTAGTCACATGGTGAACAAACACAGTCCCTATCTATCAAGATCAAAGATTGACGAATGTTTGATATACAAATTACATTTTGCACTTGAAATATTTATTTCTAGGTGTGCAACAAAACAAAGTCAAGGTATCATTCACAATGAGAGAGATGATTAATGATAAAATCGAAACTGCTAGTGATCGCGTTTATTCCGTGCAAAATGCAGAGTCTGGATTATCCTGCATCAGTCCTTAACAAGGTCCGAGTATATTTCGGCGGTCACATCACGTTTTTCGCTACAGACAAAATGCGCGCGAGATAATTTAACCCGAATCTGTATAGTAGATTTTGGAGTTTTGACTTTCAGGCGGGCGTTTCAACGAGTGACCAAACGTGATAACTCTGCGGGGCGAGGTGTGACCAAGTGTGATAGCGCTGTGATCACGCGTGATAGCAAAGTACTGTACTGTGACTGTCCGTGATGACCCCGTGACCAAACGTGATAATACGGCCATAATTGTGACTGAGCGTATAGTTTCCCATCCCACCCAACCAACCCAACTTTTGAGTCGACTCACAAGAGTTGACCTTTTTACCTCAAAAGGTCAACCCAACCTTATCTTGCCGAGGTGGCCGAGGATGGCCAGGTTGCCGAGTTAGTTCCTAGGCTTCGGTAATCCACTTGCATAGGTGGTAGTGGTGCTGAAGGTCGGTCAGAGCCTGACAAAGTTCGTGTTTCTCATAAAGAATGTAATATCTTTCTGCTTGCATAAAGAATATATATGAAATGGACGAGAAGGGTAGTACGTTGACTACTAGTAGAACACCATTAAGCGGTATTCGAGGAGCGAGAACACCGTTAAACGGTATTCGAAAAGCGAGAACAGCCTCGACCCGCCTTTCGCCTCCGCAACGGCCCATTGTTTCTCCTTGTCTTGGGGCCCGCCAAAGGATCTGCCATGGGGTCCGCCATGGATCCCGTTCAGGCTTTCGCCGACCTTATCGGCACACCCCGTCCAGCCGCGTCGTTCCTGCTAGCTAGTTTCGCTGTCGTTCCGCTCGCGTGGCTTCACAGATTCATATTATCGCCTACACTTCGCCACCTGTACTGCACAGTAACGGGACTGCTTCTATCGGCGTTCGTGTTCGGATGGTCGGCGAACGCGCATTTCTTCTTTTGCGTGCTCTACTCCATGGCCGTAATGCGTCTGTTTCGAAGACACTGCGGCGTCCTAACGTTCTTCGGAACGTTCGCGTACTTGATTGGTTGGTAAGTTCCCCATCTCGTCGTTCTCTACTTCTTGGTGTTTCTTTGGTTTTGGAATCACAAGTCAAGCCGCAAGATCAGGACGGTAGCAGCCTTTGGTGCAAACGCAAAGCGCCTTCCCTTTCTTTGCATCCTCTCCCTTCATGCAAACATCCCCCCGTCTCCGCATTTCCCGTTCACATATTCCGTTTCTTACGTGCATTTCCCTCGTTCAATGATGATCGAATCAATGATGCGATCCGACCGACCCCCTACAGCCACATCATCATGCGCACCCACGAGACTCCGCCCGCTTCAAACTCCTCAATCACCAACGTTCACATTTCCCGTTCCCTCGTTCGATGCGATCCGACCTCCTGCAGCCACATCATCATGCGCACCCACGAGACCCGCACGGAGGGCGTGCTCGACTGCACAGGCGCGCTCACCGTCCTCGCTACAAAGCTCACCGCTGTGGCGTATAACTACCAGGACGGGCTCACGCTGCTGGAGGGGAAGGACGAAGGCGCGCAAGCCAAGGACGAGAAGGAGAGGAAGGAGTTGACCGAGGAGCAGAGACGGCGGGAGGAGCGGATGGAGCGTTCGCGATTGGAGCGGCGAAAGGCGGCGCTGGTTACCATGCCGTCGGTGGTGGCGGTGATGGGGTACCTGTTCTGCCTCGGGCTGCACATGACGGGCCCCTTCTTCGAGTTCACCACCTACCATCACTGGACCCAACGACAAGGGGTACGTTCCTTCACCGTTGCCACACTTCCCTTGTATCCCCCTCTCCACTGATCGCCTCTCCTCTCCACTGATCGCCTCTCCTCTCCACTGATCGCCTCTCCTCTCCACTGATCGCCTCTCCGCACCGCACACATCTGGACCTTCACGCTCAAGAAGCCGTCCACCAATCAATAACCAATAATTCGCCAATATACAGCACCCAGAACACCAAGCGTGCAAGATTAGTAATCTTGCCCTGTGCGCTCCGCAATTTGGGCTGCGGGCTTTAAAGCCCGCAGCTTAAATTCTGACCCCCCCCTTCTAGTTGGGTTCACTTGAAGGTTGGGTGCTGTTCTGTTTTTTTTGTTTTCTAGTCAAACGCGTTTGATACTTGAAGTGAAGAGTCTTCATAGATTTTATCCAACAAGCGTCGCAAGCATGTGCACTGCAAATGTGTCGCAAGTTTGCGACACGCAAGTCCCATTCACATGCCGTGGCAATTTCACAGATGTGCAATTCACGGACAGCAAAACACCTTAGAACATAACCTGCTATGGCGGCAAAAACAGCATACGAGAAACAAAAGGAGGGAAAAAACAGAGAGTAAGCAAGGTGAACAGAGACAAAAGAGACAGGGCGACGGAAAGGAGGGCGCGAGGAGAGAGATAAGTGTGCAAAATCGCGGAAAGAGGTCGGGTGATGGGAGGGAAGGGAGGAAGGGCGCGGAGAGGCCGTTTCATAGCAAGAGCAAAGGCGATGTGGTGGGCGATGGGAGGAGAAATTGGGACGGGGGATGAGAATAGGGCGTTTCGGTGCGAGCGCCAAGGCGAAGGGGTGGGTGTTGGGAGGTGAGACAGGAAGCACGACGACTGCATTAGGGGCCGCGGGAAGGGCGGGGAGAGAGCAAGCAAGGGCGATGGGACGGGAGGGGAGAGAGCAAGGGCGACGGGAAGGGAGGGGAGAGAGCAAGGACGACGGGAAGGGAGGGGAGAGAGCAAGGGCTACGGGAAGGGAGGGGAGAGAGCAAGGGCTACGGGAAGGGAGGGGAGAGAGCAAGGGCGACGGGAAAGGAGGGGAGAGAGCAAGGGCGACGGGACGGGAAGGGGACGAGAAGGCGATCGCGAGTGTGACAAGAGGATGACCGCGAGTGCAATCGCGGGAGAGACGACACAGACGACGGGCGTCAGGGCGGGCGACGGGAGGGCGACGGGAGGGCGACGGGAGGGCGACGGGTGGGCGACGGGTGGGCGACGGGAGGGCGACGGGAGGGCGACGGGAGGGCAGAGAGAACGGGAGGACAGGATTGCAACGGGAGGGAGACGGGACGGACGACGACAGGGGAGTGAGAGTGTAGAGATCCAGGCAAACATTTGTTTTGGCGGGAGCCAATTAGGGCGCGGTGAAAGTGGAGAATTGATCGCCTCAGGTTCGTTTTTTAGCGCGGTTGTAAACGGTTGTGTACCTTCTGTCATTCAAACAGTCATCTACCTGCGCGCACGTCACCAGTCTGCGCGTTCCCTCCTGCCCATCCCCGTCCGTCCTCACCACCTGCAGATCTGGTCCGCGGGTGTCAAGCAGCCGCCCATCCGCGCGCCATTCTGCCGCGCGTTCATCCAGGGCGTGCTCTCAGCGCTCGTCTTCCTGCTCGTGTCCCCCTCGCTCGACCTCACTCAAATCAGCAACCTACACAAGAACCGCGCCCACCCCGTCCACGTGCGCTGGCTCGTGGCGCACCACGCGTGCATCGTGTGGCGCTTCCGCGCGTACATCGTGTGGAGCATCACCGAGGCCGCCATGATCACCGCCGGGCTCGGCTTCACCGGCTGGGAGACCCCCACGGGGGACCCTGGGAAGGGCGGGGACGTGAAGTTGAACGGGGGGAAACTGGAGGGGGCAAAGGGGAATGGGAAGGGCGGTGGGGATGGGGATGTGGGAAAGCAGGAGGGTGATAGGACGTGTGCGGCGCCTGCAGGGGAGGGGAAGGCGCTGTGGAGCCGGGCTCGCAACGTGGACATCCTGGGGGTTGAGTTCCCCAAGAGCTGCCTCATCTCTGTTACCACGTGGAACATCTCCTACGGCCTCTGGCTCAGGCTCTATGAGTCCGCACCGCACTGTATCGATATCTGACCTCTCTGGATCTGTCTGAACCACTCTGCTCCTCTTGCCACCACGTGGAACATCTCCAACAGCCTTTGGCTCAGGCTTTGTGAGTCCACGCCGAACTGCGCCTCCATCTCTCGACCTCCCTGAACCACTTTGAACCAAACTGTGGCTCTCTTCACCTCTTTGGACCTCTCTGAACCGTTCCGGGATCTCTGCGAGTTTGAATTTTGCGCTTCTCTCGCTCATGTGCATGTGCTCCCAGCATTTCTCTTGGGCTAAGTTGGAATAAAGGAAACGTTCCGACCCTAAAGCGTATATACGCTTGAGTCTATACACAAAACACTATATGCCAGCTAATACGCTGTACGCAGTCAGAAGTTTTTAGGTTCTGCCCGGGAAAATAAATCGTGTGTATACGGAAAAATGCGAAATCTCCAGGTGAGCATTTTGCAATTCGGAGATCCAGGGAAGCAGGAATGTGCCTTCGAAGTTTTCAGTTTGGCAGTTCAGAAATACAATTCCGATTAGTACCGCATTGAAACCCATCCCATCTACGCACTCCAACCTGTCAAAAACTTCCCTCAACAAACCCCACTCACGCTACTTACCAGCCAGCCCCACTGCACTCGTCATTTCTATTTAAAGGCCACACCCCAAATTACACAACGAAGTCAACGAAAAATTTGTAGGTTCGGAAAACCCCAGAAGGAGGTTCGGTGGGAAGAATGGGAACCAATCGCAATAAAAACCCACTCAAAACCTTCGACCAATCGCGTGAAAGTGGTGACAGTTTTGGGGCCGACACGGTAATTCTGGATGTGTCATTTAAAGCCCAAGACCTGAATTACTCAACGGAAGTCAACTGAGTATTTCTAGGTTCGGCGGGCTGCCAGTTGGAGGTTCGGATGGGTTGAGTGACAGGCGAAGCCTCAAAAACACTTTGCGACTGAAAGTAGTTCGCCACAAACTCCCTACATGCTGATTGGTTGTAAAAAGCAGGCAGGGCCCTTCTTCCCAAACTCGACAAACCTGAGAAGCAACGTGCCAGGGAAACTGTGCACAGTTTGAGCAGCCACACATGCACTCGAACAAACATATTAGTTGCTTAGTCCACTTCAGCAGGGCGCCACCTTAGATTCTAGAAATACGCGGAATAGCCGTAGGGAGCGAATGTCCGTGTGGACTGGACCAGCAAAGTGCGATGCTTAGGGTGAGGATAGAGGAGGCTGTTACTAAATGCCAGTGCGGGCGTGAGTTAGCGAGACACATCGAGGCCTGAACTGGCGATTTATTCAGAGAGTCTAAAAGTATAGGCTAATACACAAACACTCGACCACGCTCGCTTCCCATAGGTCACAGGGCGGACGTATCCATCGTCTGCAATGCGTAGCCATCTTACGCCGCGCGTCGGAGCCGATTAGAAACAAACGCGCTAGAGACAGCCTCAGCATCTTGCCTCCCGCCCTGCCCGGGAAATCCCCTCCCCGCCATTTGGTCGCGCCTGCCTTTCACATATCGCATGGTGAGAAGCTTCCCGTCGCCCTCATTCCATCTTCCCGTCGCCCTCATTCCATCTTCCCGTCGCCCTCATTCCATCTTCCCGTCGCCCTCATTCCATCTTCCCGTCGCCCTCATTCCATCTTCCCGTCGCCCTCATTCCATCTTCCCGTCGCCCTCATTTCCCGTCCCGTCGCCCTCGTTTCCCTTCCCGTCGCCCTCATTTCCCTTCCCGACGCCCCCATTTCCCTTCCCGTCGCCCTCAATTCCCTTCCCGTCGCACTCATTTCCCGACCCGGCGCACTTATTTCCCTTCCCGTCGCCCTCATTTCCCGTCCCGTCGCCCTCATTTCCCTTCCCGTCGCACTCATTTCCCTTCCCGTCGCCCTCATTTCCCTTCCCGTCACCCCCCATTACCCTTCCCGTCGCAAACATTACCCTTCCCGTCGCCCTCATTTCCCTTCCCGTCGCACTCATTTCCCTCGAGTCCTCCCTCCCCCTCATCCGCCCTTCCTCCACCTCTCCATCCTCTCATCCTCCCTTCATCTCATCCTCCCTTCCTCTTATCCGCCCTTCCTCTCATCCTCCTTTCCTCTCATCCACCCTTCCTCTCATCCTCCCTTCTCTCATCCTGTCTCCCTCTCATCCTCTCTCCCTCTCATCCGCCCTGCGTCTCGACCTTCCTTCCTCTCGTCCTCCCTCCCCGTCTTCCGCCCTCCCCCTCATCCGCCCTCCCTCTCATCCTCCCTTCATCTCATCCTCCCTTCCTCTTATCCGCCCTTCCTCTCATCCTCCTTTCCTCTCATCCTCCCGCCCTCTCATCCGCCCTTCTCTCATCCTCTCGCCCTCTCATCCGCCCTCCCTCTCATCCTCCCTTCATCTCATCCTCCCTTCATCTCATCCACCCATACTCTCATCCTCCCTTCCTCTCATCCTCCCTTCCTCTCATCCTCCTCTCCTCTCATCCTACCCTTCCTCACATCCTCTCTTCCTCTCATCCTCCCTTCCTCTCATCCGCCCTTCTCTCTCTCATCCTCCCGCCCTCTCATCCGCCCTTCTCTCAAGGGCTCGCCCTCTCATCCTCTCTCCCTCTCATCCTCTCTCCATCTCATCCTCCCTTCATGAAATCCACCCATCCTCTCATCCTCCCTTCCTCTCATCCTCCCTTCCTCTCATCCTCCTCTCCTCTCATCCTCTCTCCCTCTCATCCGCCCTCCCTCTCATCCTCCCTTCATCTCATCCTCCTTTCCTCTCATCCTCCCTTCCTCTCATCCGCCCTTCTCTCTCTCATCCTCTCTACCTCTCATCCTCCCGCCCTCTCATCCGCCCTTCCTCTCGTCCTCCCTTCCTCTCGTCCTCTCCCCCCTTCTTCCGCCCTCCCCCTCATCCGCCCTTCCTCACATCCTCTCTTCCTCTCATCCTCCCAACCTCTCATCCGCCCTTCTCTCATCCTCTCGCCCTCTCATCCGCCCATCCTCTCATCCTCCCTTCATCTCATCCTCCCTTCATCTCATCCAGAGCACGCAAGGTGAGGAGAGGGAGCACGCAAGGTGAGGAGAGGGGAGCACGCAAGGTGAGGAGAGGGGAGCCCACGCAGGGTGAGGAGAGGGGAGCACGCAAGGTGAGGAGAGGGAGCACGCAAGGTGAGGAGAGGGGAGCACGCAAGGTGAGGAGAGGGGAGCACGCAAGGTGAGGAGAGGGGAGCACGCAAGGTGAGGAGAGGGGAGCACGCAAGGTGAGGAGAGGGAGCACGCAAGGTGAGGAGAGGGGAGCACGCAAGGTGAGGAGAGGGGAGCACGCAAGGTGAGGAGAGGGGAGCACGCAAGGTGAGGAGAGGGGAGCACGCAAGGTGAGGAGAGGGGAGCACGCAAGGTGAGGAGAGGGGAGCACGCAAGGTGAGGAGAGGGGAGCACGCAAGGTGAGGAGAGGGAGCACGCAAGGTGAGGAGAGGGGAGCACGCAAGGTGAGGAGAGGGGAGCACGCAAGGTGAGGAGAGGTGAGCACGCAAGGTGAGGAGAGGGGAGCACGCAAGGTGAGGAGAGGGGAGCATGCAAGGTGAGGAGAGGGAGCACGCAAGGTGAGGAGAGGGGAGCACGCAAGGTGAGGAGAGGGGAGCACGCAAGGTGAGGAGAGGGGAGCACGCAAGGTGAGGAGAGGGGAGCACGCAAGGTGAGGAGAGGGAGCACGCAAGGTGAGGAGAGGGGAGCACGCAAGGTGAGGAGAGGGGAGCACGCAAGGTGAGGAGAGGGGAGCACGCAAGATGAGGAGAGGGGAGCACGCAAGGTGAGGAGAGGGAGCACGCAAGGTGAGGAGAGGGGAGCACGCAAGGTGAGGAGAGGGGAGCACGCAAGGTGAGGAGAGGGGAGCACGCAAGGTGAGGAGAGGGGAGCACGCAAGGTGAGGAGAGGGGAGCACGCAAGGTGAGGAGAGGGGAGCACGCAAGGTGAGGAGAGGGAGCACGCAAGGTGAGGAGAGGGGAGCACGCAAGGTGAGGAGAGGGGAGCACGCAAGGTGAGGAGAGGGGAGCACGCAAGGTGAGGAGAGGGGAGCACGCAAGGTGAGGAGAGGGGAGCACGCAAGGTGAGGAGAGGGGAGCACGCAAGGTGAGGAGAGGGGAGCACGCAAGGTGAGGAGAGGGGAGCACGCAAGGTGAGGAGAGGGGAGCACGCAAGGTGAGGAGAGGGAGCACGCAAGGTGAGGAGACGGGAGCACGCAAGGTGAGGAGAGGGGAGCCCACGCAGGGTGAGGAGAGAGGGGCACGCGCAAGGTTGGCGATCGAAGAGCATTGGAGGTGAGGAGAGAGGGGCACGCGCGGGGAGGCGAGAGGAGCACGCAGGGTGAGGAGTGAGGAGCACGCGCGGGGAGGCGTGGGAGGCATGCAAGGTGAAGAGAGAGGAGAACGAGTAGGTGAGGAGAGAGGAGCACGCGCGGGGAGGCTTGAGGGGCGCGCGAGGGGAGGCGAGAGGAGAACGAGTAGGTGAGGAGAGAGGAGCACGCGCGGGGAGGCTTGAGGGGCGCGCGAGGGGAGGCGAGAGGAGAACGAGTAGGTGAGGAGAGAGGAGCACGCGCGGGGAGGCTTGAGGGGCGCACGAGGGGAGGCGAGAGGAGAACGAGTAGGTGAGAAGAGAGGAGCACGCGCGGGGAGGCGAGAGGGGCGCGCGAGGGATGGCGGGAGGAGGCTGCGCGGGGAGGCGAGAGGCGGCCGCGCGGGGAGGCAAGAGATTCGCGAGCATTGAAGGCGAGAGGAGCACGCGAGGGGAGGCGAGAGGAGCACGCGCGGGATGGTGAGAGGAGGCCGAGCGGGGCGGTAAGAGGAGCGCGCGCTGGGATGCGATGGGATACCGCGCGGAAGGCGAGAAGAGCGCGCGCGGGGTGGCGAGAGGTTCCCGCGCGGGCTTACCGGAACGGTGCGCGCGCAGGGAGGAGAAACGTGGGCTTGAGAAACGGGCTTCCCGCGCGTGGAATCGTGGGCCTGACTGTCAGGATAGCGGGGCGTTGTGGGGACACGACGACGCTGAAAGTGGGTGGTCGCGGAGTGGTGCACGAAGCGCCGCAATGGGGCACGACGACGAGGAAGCGATGGGAGGGGATAGGGGTAAGGACGATGGGAGGGCAATGGCGACGGGGACCACGGGGGAAACGAGGGTGACGGTGCGTCAAGGGGGAGGCCGATGTGAGGGGATTTCCTCCCTACGCCTCTTGATCCTGTTTAGCGCGACGTCTCGTAATATGGGATTCGAGCATTTTACGCTTGTGACGAGCGCATTCCTAAATTTCGTGTTGCATCGGGGTTGAAGGTGGGAATGTGCTAGGGGCAAAAGCTTAGAGTCTCGCTTAGTAGCCGCACAGGCATTCCTGAATTACCATTTCTAGGCAAACTGTGCACAGGCAGTTCCCTTCTTCCTTCAGCAAGGGTGGTTGGAACTCTCGCCAAGTTGAAGCGTTCTGCTCTACGACGCGGTCTTTGTGGGGTGCGACGTTTTCTGGTAACCCCACTGGCTCGGGAGGTGTTCATTGGGCTCGGAAGGCAAACTGTGCACAGTTTGCCCTTTTTGATTTGTAATTCAGGTCTTGGGCTTTAACGTTACCGCTTCCCAACAGAGTTCATTCCGATTCCTACTTCTTGCGACAGTATCTACTACACATCCCACCCCAGTCGCCGTTCAGACTTAGAAAATTTGCTACGAAAGTCTTAGTGAAAATAGGGAATACCTTCTCGGTGTTGTGCACGACGTTTTTTCCACCCTGCCCGGGATTTTTGTTCCCTGCCCGAAAAAGCGTATGTCCAAACTGACCCCTTAGCGGATAGCGTATATGATAGCGTATATACGATACGCGCGTATTTACGGTAAACACGTATATTCCAACATAGCTCATTGGCGCTGGCACACGCATGCTTCATGCTCTATGCTTCACCTTCATAAGAATGTATGAATGTGCTTGCCTCATGCGTCGCCATGCGTCATTGCTTCATGCGTCCTGCGTCATGCGTCGTGCTTGCTTATCATGCTCCCTCGTGACTCCCTGCCAGACCATCCACCCACCACTGGTCACCTGCGCCCCCCTGGACACAGACGTGTACAACCGAATGGTGCCGCCCGGCAGGAGGCCCACGTTCGTCCACATGCTCGCCACCATGCTCGTCAGCGCCGTCTCCCATGTGCGCTCTACATTGCCCCGTTCCATGCTTCTCTCTTCCATTCTTGTTCTCCCTTACCCCGTTCCTTGCTTCTCGTTCTCCTTTCCCAGTTCCATGCCTCTCTATCCCATGTGCGTTCATTCTTACCCCGTTCCATGCTTCTCTCTCCCATGTGTGTTCTTCCTTACCCCGTTCCATGTGCTTACTGCCTCCCATGTGCTTACTGCCTTCCATGTGCTTACTGCCTTCCATGTGCTTACTGCCTCCCATGTGCTTACTGCCTCCCATGTGCTTACTGCCTCCCATGTGCTTACTGCCTCCCATGTGCTTACTGCCTCCCATGTGCTTACTGCCTCCCATGTGCTTACTGCCTCCCATGTGCTTACTGCCTCCCATGTGCTTACTGCCTCTGATGGGCGCCCTCCTTTCCGCGATCCATGCTTTCATCTCCCATGTGCATCATCCCTACCACCCATGTTTCTGCCTCCCACATGCGTCACCGCAACCCCTACCCACCAGTTTCTTCCTCCCATGTGCCTTACCTCTACCCCCACGTACGTCACCCCTATCCCCCAATGTGGTTGTCCCCTTGCCATCTCCAACGAGCGTTATCTCTGCGTCACTCTCTCCTGCCCCCATTCACGTCACCCCACCTCCCTCTCATGCCAGCAGCCAGAACATAATTGCTCATATTGGCACCCAAGGCCAATTTGTGCAAACTGCTTTCTCAAATTCCGGTTCTGGCACCACAGTACTGACCAGTGAAGCTTTTAACGATCAGCATATATAGCCTTGGTTCATGTTGACTTTTGAGTCAACTCAAAAGTCAACTCGCCATTAGTGCAAGCTTCTCATTCTCTGATTGCACAGGACCTCCTACCTAGGCTTGAGCAAACGGCGAACACGAGCATGTACGAACAGTACCCACAAAAAGGGTGTTTGCCACTCGCCAAGCTTGGTTCCATTGGGGCAAGATTCTCATTCATTGATTGCTGAGGACCTCCTACCCTAAGCACGCAGAGCCATATGCATGCGTTACTGTTTTCACTTGCGCTCTCTATCTCAGATTATTTGTTAATTATAAAGTCTGTGTCCCCCACTCCATAATCTCCCAACCGTGTGCATTTTTACCAACCCCCCACTCTGTGTTACCAACAGGGCTTGAATTGGGGTGACTTCATCGCCTTCGCGAATTGGGCGCTTGTTGTTGCCAGCTCCAAAGGTGTGTACCCACCCCAAAACAGCCTTTCTTTTTTCAAATGGAACTTGATTGTTGCATGAATAGAATTTGAAGACCACTACAATCTCGCAATTTGCTGCACTTGTGGCAACCTTTTTTTCCATCACCTTGGTGGCCAGTTCCCCTCTCTACACAATTGCCCATTGCATGGGTTTGTAAGCCGGACCGTTTTGACCTCATGCTTATCCATTCTATAAGTCAGCCCTGGTTCCCACCCTCACGCGTTTGCCAGGTGTCACTACCGTACTCTTGCCATTGGGCAATCTTGGCTTCATCAGCAAATGTTTTCAGCCCAGAAGGGGTACCGTCATCACCCGGATATAAGACAGTGTTGAATAGTAGACAGGGGTTGTCTATTATACGGGTGTCTCTTATAAACGGGGTAGCCTCATTATAAGACACCTATTTGTGTGTAGGGGCAAATGGCAAATGTATAACGAGGAAGTATCTTCTAAACGGATTTTTGTCCATTTATAAGACTGATGTTTTTAACGTATGGAATAAGACATACATGTCTTATATCCGGGCGATGACGGTAGTAGAACTCAATACCGAAATAAAGTATCCTACTATCCGCCCTTGAGGGGTCTTCAATTGAAAAAATAACAAATACCGGTACTCGACACAGAAAACGTGGAAGTATCTGTCTGTACTGTTGTGACTCACTACCATATTGTTTTGTTAACCCATCACATCATAAGTGCATATTTTGATCTTGTCTTGGACTCGTGCTGTTGATTACTGAGTCATGCGGTTGCCATATGTTCTCGCTGCCGACAAACATATGCAACTGGTTGATGGACATGCAGTCGCGCTATATACTCTGATTCTGCCGCCCAGTTGTCCTTGTGGGAGCAAGAATCGTGTTGATTAGGTAGCGGATTCGCGGGTCAAGAGCAAGATGGTGGACGCTTGGGGCTGCTGAGGAAGATGGTGGGGTCGAGGATGCAAGTAAGGTGGATGCAAAAGGGGTGGATGCAAAAGGGGTGGATGCAAAAGGGGTGGATGCAAAAGGGGTGGATGCAAAAGGGGTGGATGCAGAAGGGGTGGATGCAGAGGTTGGCACATCGGAAGAAGGTGAGCAGTTTGACAGCCCCTGCTGCACTCTTGGTACCACTCTATGCATTGCAGTTTGCTGGTCTTCAAGGGTGGGAGCAGGTGCGACACCTGGTATTGCAGTAGGGCGTGCAATATCAGGCATGGCAGCAGGGGCCAGTGAATCACTTGCAACGGTACAAGTGACAGAAGGTGTTCAAATAGCGGTGGCAGCAGGTGATGTGACTGCGGGTGCGACAGCCAACCAAGGTGAGGAGCAGAGCTGCAGGTTGAGAAGCAAACGCGGTCTACATGCCCTGTTGCTCCTTTGCCTTTGCCACCGCCTCCACCCCCCTTCCACTCCCTCCCCTGCCCTTTCTCCCCTTGTTCTCAGATCTGCTGCTCTCCCTTCTTCTGGTCTCCACTCTGCTGCTCTCACTTGTACTGCTCTAACTTCACCAGCTCGCCCTTCCTCTGTTCTTCCTTTCCCGGCTCCACCTTCCCCTACTCCGTCATCTCCTGCTTCCCATCCTCTCTGCTCATCCATGGTCTTTCGTTTCCTCCCACCCCCCTGCGGTCTTGCATGTTGCAAACCAACCTCCCTCCCACTGTCCTCCCCCCCACCGTCCCCCCTCTCACCGTCCCCCCTCCCACCGTCCCCACTCTCACCACCGTCCCCACTCCCACCGTCCCCACTCCCACTGCAACCCCTCTCACCAGCCTCTTTCCCTTCACTGCCCTTCCGTTCTTCTTGGTCCTCCTCCTGCTCCTCCTCCCTACTATCCTCGTCTTCCCGAGTCTCCTCCTCCTGCTCCTCCTCCCTACTATCCTCGTCTTCCCGAGTCTCCTCCTCCTCCTCCTCCTCCTCCTCCTCCTCCTCCTCCTCCTCCTCCTCCTCCTCCTCCTCCTCCTCCTCCTCCTCCTCCTCCTCCTCCCCCTCTTTCACCTCCCCGTCCTCCTCACTCTCCTCCCCTTCTTCCCCGTTTTCCTGCTCCTCTCTCACCTCCCCTTCTCTCTGCTTCTTCCTGATTCGCATCCTGCTCCTCCTCGCTCACCTCTCCTTCCTCAGTCTCCTCTGCTTCTTCCTGCTTCTCCTCCTGTTCCTCCTCTCTCACCTCTCCTTCCTCAGTTCTCTCTGCTTCTTCCTGCTTCTCCTCCTGTTCCCCCTCTCTCACCCCTCCTTCCTCCTCAGCCTCTTCCCCTTCGTCTTTCTTCTTCAAATCCTCCTCCTGCTCCCCTCCACTTCTGCCACTTCCCCCTCTTCTTCCTCCCCCTCTGCCACCTCTCCCTCTTCTAACTCCCCCTCTGCCACCCCCATCTTCTCTTCCTCCACATTCTTCTCTATTTCTCCCTCAGCAAGTGTGGTAGCAGAAGAAGCAGGAGCACGAGCTGCAGAAGGGGAGGGAGCTGCAGTGTCATTACCATCCGCAGCATCATCAGCATCCGCAGCAACAGCACCAGCATCAGCACTATCAGCACCATCATAATCAGCAGCATCCACAGCACCAATAACATGAACAGCATCAGCAGCACAGACACCCATCATCACCAGTCGCAACGCCATGAGCAGTTGCTGTGGCAGAATCAGTGAATGCATGATCACTAAACTCGACAGCAGCAGCAGCAGCATCAGCGTCGCCATCGTTAGCATCAGCATCACCATCAGCACCATCATAACCAGCAGCATCCACACCACCAGCGGCAACAGCAGCAGCAGCATAAGAACGATGAGCAATGGCTGCGGCGAAATCAGTCAGAGTAGTATCAGCTGACCCAACAATAGCAACAGCAGACCCAACAGCAGAAGCATCAACTGACCAAGCAGTAGTAGCAGACCCAGCAGCAGCAGCAACAGCATCAGCAACAGCTGCAGCAGCAGCAGCAACAGCAGTAGCAGTAGCAGGAGCAGGAGCAGGAACAGAAGCAACAGCAACGAGCCTGTCATCATCATCATGAGCAGCATCACCACAACCACTACCACCACCACCATCTAAACCCTATCGCCTTATCATCATCAGCACTGCAGAAACATCATCAGAGAGAACAAGAGGAAAGTCAGGATCACCACCTAGCCTAATATGTGCATCAGCATCAGTGGCAACAGCATCAGCACAAACAGCAGCAGCAGCACCAGAAGCAGCAACAGCACCACCAGCAGCAGCAACAGCCCTTGCAACAGACAGCAAGAGCCCAAACCAGGAATAGGGGGCATCAACCCTCCAGTCCTCCCATCCCCACCCCACTCTCCACCACCTTCTCTTCCCCCACCTGGATCTCCCCCCACCTCACCCCCTCAATCGGGTAGCAACATGCTTTTCCAGAAGCAATGGCAGTGGATGAAGGGAATTAATTCTGACACAAAGGCAGGAAATCGAGCACCACACCCCTGGTCAAATCAGCGTGCTCGCCCGACCATCATCTGCGATAAACCGAGCGGGATCGGGGAAATGGTCGCCAATCTCTTTTACTCCAGTGCTGGAAGGCGTACTTTCATCTCTGCTGCTGGTCCCGCTGTTTCTGTTGCTGCCGAGATCGCGGCAGGGAGAGGATGCTGCTGCTGCTGCTACTGCTGGTCGTGACAATGTGGCTACGAGTTGCAACGGTTCGTGGTCACTTGTACAAGTGGCAGGACGGGTTGTGTTGTCGCAGGGCGAAGCTGCGGTCAAAGAGGCGCACACGGAAGGTGCAGTGACAGCGGTCTTTCCCAAGCACCCTGTGGCTCCGACGATCGTGTGCGGTTGCGTGTGCGCTGTTTCATGCGTGCTGCTACTGCTGCTGCTTGTCGCACGCTGGCGTGCACATCACGCACTGCTACCGTGCCGACATGGGGCGAGCAGCGACGCCTAAGAAGGTGCGTGGCAGGGCCTGAGAGGGGGCGCATTGGGCTGCACGACGCCATGAAGAAAAGAAAAATGGCGCTATTAACGAACTGAACATAGGAGCTTAGGAACGTAGCGAGAGTTGCGAGAGAGAAGAGGAGGTTTTATTAGAAAGCACGGTACTAGATATAGGTAGGGAAGGTGGCAAGGGGGGTACACCATCAACAGATAAAAACCAAGAATGAAACTACACCAACTAGTATGCATGTGGTTATAAGAAAATAATGGTAACATATCCAGACGATGACAAGATTCTGACTTATGTCACTTTCGTATGGCACACCCTCGTACCTCACTTTAATGTGTGCGGGAATGTATCCGTGTCTTTTTACCAATGCAGTGGACCTCCGGAGGCAACAGCTTTCAGCGCAACAGTCAACTCAACCTAGTTGACCTCGCAGGCTCCGAAAGGTAACCCGTTCATTTCGCACGCCTGATTTCATTGCACTTTGTAAGGTACCCAGTCCGTTTCTGCCGTATCTAACTGCTAAGACGCCTGCCCTGTTAGGTACCCCATCCGCTTGCCGCCTCCTGGCCTCGCACTCATGATGATTCGTAAGGTAGAGCGCACAATGCCGGTCATTTTGAGTACTTGTATCACTCACCACCACCCACCTACCGTCCCCTCCCAGCCCTACTGATGCACTCCGCCCCTCCTAACCCCTCTCCACCTATGGCACGCAGTCACTGATCACCAGGCATTTACCTGCTATCCTTCCCAGAATCTCAGCCTTCCTCCACCCTCTCTGTCCCACAACCCTGCACTTCATCCCTGTCCACCACTCTCCACTTTTGGCAGGTCTGACTCGACAGAGGCCGTGGGAGAACGGCTCAAAGAGGCGAACGCCATCAACAAGTCCCTCTTGTCAAATTATATGCATGTTATATATGTGTAGGCTGTAGTGGGGTAGCGAATATGGGGTACAACCCCATTAGGGTTTCATTTTTGTACCAAAACTTGATCTAGTTATTTCATTCCTGCCTAGCATTCTGACATGGTATTCAGAGAATTAGGTCTGTAGGACCGATTTTTTTAGGGCCCACGTACCATTGCGGTTACTGAGCTGCCCCACGTCGTGACTGCGCTGCGCTGCCCGCGAGCGCCCTGCCTTGCCTGCGCTGCGCTGCCCGCCCGCGCCTCTGTCTTGCCTGCGCGCGCTGCTCTAGTCCCGAGCGCACCGCCTTAGGAGCACGAACGCGGCCCGCTGCTGCCTCGCGCGCCGCCGTAGGAGCTTGCGCGCGGCTTACAGCTGCCCCGCGCGCCGCGTCCGCCGCCCGCGCAACCTGCTGCAGCCCCGCGCGCCGCGTCCGCCGCCCACGCAGCCCGCTGCAGCCCCACGCGCCGCGTCCGCCGCCCACGCAGCCCGCAGCTCCCCCGCGCACCGCGTCTGCCGCCCGCGCAGCCCACTGCAGCCCCGCGCGCCGCGTTCGCCGCCCGTGCAGCCCGCTGCAGCCCCGAGCGCCGCGTCCGCCGCCCGCGCAGCCCGCAGCTGCCCCGCGCGCTGCGTCTGCCGCCCGCGCAGCCCGCTGCTGCCCAGCGCGCCGCGTCCGCCGCCCTAGCGCGGCCCGCTTCTGCCGCGCGCTGCCTTACCCACCCGCGCGCCGCTTCAGCAGCCTGCGAGCGCCTCGCCGCTGCCCTGCGCGCCGCCCTTGCCAAGTGCGTGTCGTCCAAGCAGCTTGTGCGCCGCCTCTGCCGCCCTGTCTGCAGCTTCTCCTGTCTGTGCTCTGCTCTGCCACCTACGCGCTACTCTCACCTGCGCTGCACTCATGGCGACTCTCAATATCCTCACTTTCGATCCTGACGGTCGCTCGGTAGAGTTTGCCACTTGGCTCGATGACCTGCAACTGTTTCTTCTGACCGACGCCAAAGACGGAGTGTCACTGTTCGATTACGTGACTCGCACTGCCGTTGCTCTTGCTGCCGCTCTTGACCGCTCACAGTGGCAGACTCGTGATGCCGCTGCACGCCTCGCTATTCACAAACATCTGCCGATCATTGAGCGCGCACACTTTAGTCAGCACAAGACTGCTAAGGCACTGCATGAGGCTGTAGTTGCCCGCTACTCTTCCCCAGCCACTGCAGCTCTAGGTCGTCTTATGCTACCCTACCACGGCTGAGGACCTCATCTCTCACCTTCGCGCTAGTGACGCTCGCATTCGTGCCGCCCTTCCAGCCGAGTTCCTCGCCGAGAATCACCCCCTGATGTACTTTACTCTCTACTTCCTCATCACCCGCCTCCCTGACACTCTTCGCTCAGTCAGGGACCACTTCCTCGCCCTAGACCCCCATTCTCTCACTGTCGACGACCTCGAGAAGCACCTCCTAGCAGCCGGAAAGAACATCCTCGCTGTAGGTGCTGCTCGTGGCACTCCTCGCACTCCCCTCTTTGAGGGGTGCTCACCCTCCCCTCTTGCCCCCTCCTACGCCTCTGCTGCTGTTGCTCTCGACTACCTTGGTGCTGAGGAGGTCGGGGCTGCTTCCGCTCCTAGCGGGAAGCGCCGCAGCGCCAGGGGCAACAGGGGTGGTAGGGGAGGTGGAGGTGGCGGTGGAGGAGGCGGTGGTGGAGGCGGTGG